TGACCTGTGGAGATGTGACATCTTGTGTTTTAAGGGCATCTTCGCACACATAAATATGGGAATTAAAAGACAATAAAGGCAATAAATAAATAAAAACAATATCTAAAACACTACTGAAATCATTTAAAATTATAAAATAATCTGAAAACAAGTTTTATCTATAAATATTGTCTTGATTTTAATTTAGAATTTGTCAATTTCTCCTTATAATAAAAGTTCAATAAAAATAATAAAATGAAGGGTACCTTGTGCTGAATTCAATACAAAATCGAAAGCAGTGAGTTCACACAGGAAATAAAGAAATAAACAACATAAATATGTTTAAAATATAATAATATATATTGTATTTATTGAGATTCATCTTTTATTTCTAGATAATTATCTGCTTGCTTTCATCCAAACTTTAATATTCAAACACTACAAATAACAAACATGTGAATCCTGTATTTTCTGTGTAAATGATTTGAAGTACAGCTGTTTGTCGACCTCCGCTGTAAAGCTACTCTGATGGTTCTCACGTGTGCAGCTTTAATTCCCTGTAGAGCGGTCATTGTATGTGCTGTAGAATAATTGATGAGGTGTTATATGTAGGTTTCTTTATGGTTTGGTTGCTGCCTCAGCAGGCGGACGCTTAACGAGAGTCTCAACACAAAGAATGTGTGTTTTCTTCCTCTTCGTCTTCCTCGGCTGAACGGACCGGAGCGTCTTTCTGCTGCAGAAACTGAACAAATGAACGAATGAACGCCAGAAAAGAGACGACGGGATGGAAATGTTTAAAATAACAAAATGAAACAACAAAAAGAAAATGAATTAAAACTTCCAGCTCACCTGTTTGCACAACATGAAAACATGTAACTTATAAAATATTCTCTAACATTCCTGTTTTAAAATAATAAAGGTAATTTGTTTTTTTATATATTTTATTTAGTAGTTAACCGTTTCTGTCACGTTCATTTTATTATGTATTACTGTTGTTTCAAAGCTTCTGTCACATTTACACAAAGATATCTAAATAAATATGCAGGTTTCAAATTCAGTTATTTCTCATTTTATTCGTCCGAGAGTCGTCGAATTTAAACAAATTCAGAAGAAGAAAGTAATCAAATTAGCACCTAAAACACCCACAATGTGTAAGTTTTATATTGTAGAATATAAACAGCTTCATTAAATGCTCCAAATTCACAAAAAAACCTCAAATAATGTAAATAAAATTAAACAAAAATGAAAACAATTCTCATAATGAGCTTATTAATAATAAGAAGTTGAGGCTTTTTAATCATTAAAATTACAATCGTATGTTTTATTGTTCGAGTTTATTATTTAAGTCAAAACAGCAATTTATTTATTCTTTGTTAATATTGTTTTATTGTTGTTATTTACTTTTTTAAATAACATACAAGTAGTTGAAACACTGGTAGTTTTACAGGTTATTTTCTAAATACAAAGTCACATTTAAAACAAAAATATATTATCATTAATGTTAATATTATAGTTTTTTATTTGTTTCAAATATGGAATGAAATTATTGTGACTGCTACTGGTTTTAACTGTTTAATATATGTATATAATGACAGAATAAGAGAGAATAAGGAGTAAAATATATAATACTGTGAATGCATGTCTAATAAATGTGTATTATTTTGTGTAACAATTATTCCACATATAAGTATATTCTACATAATATATTACTATTATTAATAATAATAATAAGCAGGAGTTTATAAATTAAAACTGAACTAAATCAGATATATTGATTATAAATAAGTGTAACTATGATGACTGTTAGTAACATAATGATTATTATTGCTGGTGTTTTATTATTATAAAGTATTTATGGAGGTTACAGACGACTGCAGCTGCTCTGAATCAACAACTCAATTACACTCTGTGTGTGTGTGTGTGTGTGTGTGTGTGTTTTACACCTGAGTTCGAACTCTCTTCGAACTCGTTGGGAGATAAAATCCGGAGGAGCCGCAGCACGAAGACGCTCGTTCCTCCTAATCGCTGTTTTTCTTTAATCGCTCGCACCGACTCTCTGAAATAATTCAGTTTTTTGTCTTAAACCCGCCTCTCTCTCTCCGTCTCTGTGTTTTTTTAATTGGCATATAGGGAGGCTTGTTTGTTTTTGTTGTCTGCTGTTTCTTAAATGTGTGTGTTCGTGTTCATGTGGCCCCCGGTGTCCCAACAAGCACCGCGGTAGGTGTTGGGAGGCGCTTTCGGCGGCACAAAACACACACAAGAAAATAGATGACAAAGACAGAAATACACACAGGGACAGACACACACAAAAGACAACAAACACACAAAGACTCATACCATGGGAAATCTCACACAAATACACAACTCCAGACACAAATATCCGTTAAAACACACACAAAAGACACACATCCTCACACAGGAGCACACACGCTCAGATGGGAGCCGTTGCCTCTCACGGGGCGCCATCTTGTGGCGGCAGCGACCACCAGAGGGACACACACCTGCACAGTTCATCTCCTTTTTACTCTTTAAACTGAGGAAAGTTAACAGCACTGCAGGTGTAAACATAGGGACAGCATTACAGGTAGTTGTTGTTGTTGTTGTTGTTTATGTCAAAGCACAATGATTTGTACATTAATATGTTGTTAAACCTCTGTAGTTATTGCTGTAGAAATAAAAGATTAAAATACAAGTTGTTTGTTTGTAATGGTAGAAAATGTTCCAACTGATTAAATGTAATTATTATTTATTAATTAGTTTGTTTGTGTAATGCAGAAATATTAATGGGGCGACACAAATATTAACTGATTTAATAACTATATTTGCTTGGAAAAAGACCCAAAACTAAGATATTTGAACTTAAAATGATAGTGGCACATTAGTGAAATCAGCCTGTAATCCGACCATAACAGATCTTTTAATTCACATTATTTTATAAATTAATCTAAATGAATGAGTTTGATAACAAACTATTGTGGTAAAGTGTTTTTTAGAGCAACAGCTGGTAAAATATAGCCGTAATATTTCCAACCACAGCAGTAATACTACCAACACTAGCAGCAGTATCAGTAAGATAAGATGCTCATTTGTTGATCTGCAGTAAGAGAAATTCAAGTTTACACAGCAGCACAGGAAACGGATAAAAAATAAATATAAAATAAAATATTTAATACAAAGTATATATACAATAAAGTTGAATATAGTCCAGATGAATAATTGTACATGTACAAAACAAAGAAGAAATGAGTTGTAGTACTATCAGCAGCAGTAGAGGAACTAGAAGTAATCATTTTATTATTGTAACAGCAGTATTATTAACAGTAGTAATACTATAGGCCTAGTACTAGTAGTAATATTAGTGATAGTTATAGTTGCTGTACAACAGTAGTAGTACTCTGCAGCACTAGAGGAAGTAATCATGTATTTACTGTAGTACTCAGTATGTGTAGGAGTATATTACTACCACAGTAGCTGTAATACTATACTAGGCTTTATAGTTGCTGTACTAATATTAACAGTTAAGTAGTAGCACTAGAAGGAGTTAATCTAGTATTTAGTTTTCTTGTACTACACTTATTATACCAGCAGTATAGGTACTATACAGTATACAGTGTAGGTAGTATAGTACTGTAGTTATAGCAGCAATATTACTGATACAGTTGTATTATGTAGCACTAGCAGCAGTAATCATGTATTTACAGTACTGTAAGAGAAGTAATGCCATACTAGGCTTTATAATTGTAGTAGTATTAGCAGCAGTTACAGTACTCGCCTTGTATTTATAGTGTAGTTTATATAGTTGCAGTACTGTCTGTAGTTTCTGCCTCAGTAAATAAAACTGTTGCTGCTGTACAATAGAAGTGTAGAAGAAAGGCGTTATTGTCCCCGTCAGGACCTGGTTTGTGTTCCCCGTGTGAGCCGGAGGGATTACTCGCCGTCTAACCCGTCAGTCGTGTTGTTGACCCTTTCCACTTGTCTCCAAAGAGCCGCTTCCACCCCCCCTCGAGGCCTTTTCTCTGTCGTCGACCATTACCATCAAACTGAACACGGAGGACGACCAGGATGGCTCGCACCGCCACGGCGCTCTTCTCCTGCAGCGCTCCAAGTATTCACAACTTTTACTTTAGTAAAAGTAGTAAAACCACAACGTAAAAGTACTCGTGCATAGTGCAGTCAAAATCCTACAAAGTATTATCATCATAGGACCAAAAGTGAAAGTACTCAGGATAATAAATATATAATATATATAAATGTCATTTTAACCCTTTAAGGTCACATCCTCAGTTTTATTGATCGCCTATTTAACAATTTATGCTAAAAACGTTCCCAAAAACTCTAATTATTTGTATTTTTACATCAATATCATTGTGTCTTCCTGTAAAACAAAATGTGACGCGGGCTTATGTCAGCATGAACTTATTGATTTCAACCAATAATATCAGGACATTCAACCGTCAATTAATCTCTATTAGTTAGCTAGCTAGCTAACAGCATGGCTAGCTAGTGGAGCTCACTGATTACTGTACAAACACAACTTTATCTGTTTGGGTGAAACTGGATCGAGTTTATGGAGAGAATATTGTCTGGTTTCAGCTAGCTAACTGCTAATGTAGCTGCTGTTAGCGTGCAGAAAAGACGGATAATAGCCGAGCTGCTGCTAACGTTAGCTCAGCTTGTTTCTCTGATAACTTAAGATCCAGACGTCCGATGACTAAAATCCTTCATCCGGTTCAAATCTAGAGTTAAAAAGCACCAAGATCTAAACAGTGGATGGTAACAATGTGGCTTCAGACTGGATCAACAGTCAATGTATGACAGCTTCTGGCAGACAACCACAACGCTGACGCAGGCACAAAGGGGATATGGCGCCATCGACAGGCGACCGGTGAAACGCAGCGTTACCTGAATAAAATGAGATTGTTGATAACATTAATATAAAAGTACAATATAAGCTCTGGAGTTTATACACTGTTTAATAAAGAAACATTTTAATCCTGTAAGAAATTAAACACATCTCCGAGTTGATTTTAAAATATCTTTATTTAAACATGATCCAGAAAAAAATACATCTTTAAAGTTCCTGCAGAGAGCGAACACTTTGTGAGCACTTCAGGCAGCTTGTTCGGAGCACAGACGCCGGAGGAGTGAAGCCACGTAAGAAACATTCAACCATTCAGCACATGGACACACACTTCAACGCTGGAGGCGAACAGCTCTGAGCCCGAAACACACTCCACCTCACTCCCCTAATACTGTTCATCCTATAGACCAGGATCAGCACAGGCCCCTGACCCACAGACCAGGCTATAAACTCTGAAATCTAATTGGAAAATATTTCTGTGTACTTTCTGAAAATGTATGGAGGTAAAATCCGGTTAAAAGAATACTTGAAGTGTGAAGTTGTGGGTTTTCATGTGTTTTAAAAAGAATTTTTTTTAGAGATATGACCTGTTAACAGAGGTTAAACTCAAGAGCAAGCAAAGAACTGTTAAAATACTAGTTTTTTGAATGGAGTTTGGTTGATCGGGGCTATGCTAACTTCATGAAGTAAAAACATTTGTGTCTGTTCAGGTCTTGAACTCTGAGGACACGAGCCTGAACGTGCCGTCTTCCCCACACAACAATGCAAAAACCCTGAAATAGTCCAGTTTTCTGCATAAAGTTGAATATTTTCAAGTCATATATATATTATATAAGACATATTATATATAATCTCAGTGTGTAAATGTGCTTTCTTTCTGTGTGAACACGCCATAACAAGCCCTTTAATTACTGCTGGTTCTGATGTTTCCATACTGTTTAACGATATAGAAATATAACTTTTATACATTAAATGTAGATCTTAAAATACAATATTTCTGCTGTCAGTTTGTCTGAGGGTAAATTCTGTATCAGAGTTTATTTCTGACTCCTTATATTTAGATTGGGCCACACTTAAATACAAATTAATAAATATATATGAATAAAATCTAACATTTACAGTTTGGTGTATATTTGATTTAGAATATCAAATACTACAAATATACATTATAATGAGGTATCAACAGGTGCGAGTTTCCTGCATCCTCCCATTCTTAAGTTCGAACTCCGGAGGACACGAAACCAAACGTACCACGCTCTGTACAATAAATGTAGATCTCTAAGTCAAATGCCAAATGGTTTGTATAGGAGTTATAGTTATGACTCCTTATACTTACAAACACACTCACCTACAGATTAATAAATATATATCAATGATATTGGACTCCAGAGGTTGAACTCACGAGGACACAAACTCAAACATGGAGAATATACACATTGAAATGAGGTATTAACAGGTGTTTAACCACATCTCATTGTCAATGTTTCCTGCATCCTCCCGTACACAAGTTCGAACTCCCGAGGACACGAGCCCGAACATGGCGAGGTCTGTTTGAAGACTTCCTGTTATAATAGTCCTTACCTTCCTTCAGAAGCAGACTGTAGCACAGAGCTCTTACACCTCCAGTCGTCTACAGTTTCTTTGCAATAGATAACACACACGCGCACACACACGCGCACACACACACACCACTGTTGTACACACAATTACAAAACAAAGTATTTTAACAAATAAGTCACCTCTTTACAGAGAAACACATGAGACAGGTGACATTTTCTGTTCAGGTGAAGCTGAAATGTCAGTTTCAGAGAAGCGTTGATCGGCGTGAGGGAGGCACGAAGAAGACAAGGCCATGAAGGCTTCAGAGAAACAGCCCTTATTTTTAAAATCTATGGCAGTATCGTAATAATATAATAACCCCGATACATGCTGTTCTCCTTTGTGTCTGTATGGGAGGAGTTCAAATTGCGGCAGTTCAACTTTGCCTTGCTTATCGGTAAACAGGCGTCCTGTAGAGCGTGACGGGAGGCCTTTTCTGAACCATTACTGTCCACTGAGCTGCACACAGGGCAATAAACTGTAAACTTTTTAAATTAATTTGCAGTGATCACTACATCCGCCCACCATGTGCTCTGGTGGAAAGAAACTGTAGGAGGGAGGTTTTTTTTTTTTTAAATGAACGCTTAAGTGCCAAAGTATCAAATAAACTGGAAAACAGTTTAAAGTCATGTTCTATGATCTAAGTGCAGAAAATATAAAAAACCTTAATTTTCTTTAGTTTATCAGCTGCATCGAAGCCAGAAACACAGCGAGCCAGAGGGGATGTACTTAATTATTTTAACGAGCTTTTCCCACAAAAACACAGTTTTTAAAGCATCGTAACAAAGTGATGATGTTCTGGTAAAAACAACTATATGTTAAGATCACAAAATAACATGATCATGAGGAGAAAAACATCAAATTAATTTGTGTTTCCTCTTGAAAGTTTTACATTTTCCATTAGATTTTATTGTTTTTTATTTTTTATTTATTTAAATTTGTTTTCAGTTTTCATTGTTAGTTTTTATTAGTTAAATTTTTTTCCTATAATGTGGGTTAAATCTAAGAGCTGCAGAATATGTAAATAAACACTTGTGTGAGGGTAATTGATTTACAGCCAGTCTCAATAAAAAATATGCACCAATGTTTGTTCCAAATGGACTAAAACTAAACACATTTCCTGTATATTTAGATTTACTTTCCACCTTCGAATTTGGGGTTTTTTTGTTCAGTTAACAAACATTTTTCACCCATAGTTTTAGTTTTTATTTTAGTTTTAGATGACTATAATAATCTTTACTGTATCTGGCAAGCTAACGGTGACATGGTACCTACTTTTTCTAAGTTGTTGTCTGCTAGTTAACTAGAAGCAATAGTATGTTTATATCATCAACTCCTGTTTTACAACTGACTTCAAACCATGCTGAATATTTGGAAAAAGATGCAACATATTCCAAACCATTTTCCAGTGTGATCTTGACCTTAAAGTTCTATCCCGTATAAAGGTAGAACAGCATGTATCTGGGCTGTATGTACAGTAAATGTGCTGAGAGACTAACATTCATACTGTTTACAGAAGACGCTACGTAGCATTCAGGTTAAACTCCTGTCGAACCAAAAACAACAGATGCACCATGCTGGAGTTTTCCTTTTTCTTTTTTTAAATTGATAAGAAAAAAGACTCGAACGTTTAATAGCCTTCGGATTCAGTGGCAGGCAGCCATTTTGTTGTTACACCACAGTTGGCGGAGCTGTGCTACTGTCGCCTCCCTGTGGCCCAGACTTGAATTATTTGTTAAATTAAAATCTCACAGATTAAAAAAAAAAAAAAACAATAATCCTGGTGATGCAAAAACATCCACACATTTCTGTAAGCGTTGAGTAACTGTAGATACAGTGCTCGGAAAAATAGAGCCATAAAAATACTGACAGACTATATTTACGTGTTGCGTTTTTTTGGTATTTGTTGGCACTGTTTTTTTTTTTGTTTTTTTTTTTTTTTTGAGCGATTGAGGATTTTCATTCCAAAATGCTACATATCCATTATCAGACAACAAACAGGTACCTGAAACTTTAGAGTTCTCCATCGTTATAGTGAATTATGTTTATTTGGATATCTCCTTTTGGAATGAAACCCCTGACAGTTCATTGCTACCATACAAAATAAAACATCAGGAACTACGTTTGTGAACGCCAGCTGTTAAGTAAAGTTTAAACTGTATGAACAGAAGACATAAATTTAATTAATTATACATTACACGCAAAACAGAAACTTTTTGTCAGGGCTCGAGATGAATGCAGATGCTGATTTTCTTAGTTTTAGTGCTCTCTGGTTGAGAGCTGTGATTATTTTCACTTGATTAACATATAAATTATTTTATTGATAAGCATTTAAACATTTACTCTACACAAAGTCAAATCTAAAAGAAGTTGTAGTAAAATGTATGCCAACTTAATGAAGTCTTACAATAGCAAAGTGATAGAAGAATTTTAAAACTCTTCATAAGTTTTGATTGTATATAAATTATCTTCCTCTCTTTCATTGTTTACTTAATTTAAAGCCGTGGCTTGTTTCCGTAACTTGGCTGTAATCATCAGTGCAAAGTCTTGTATATAGAAAAGTGATGATTAAGCGAGAGGCACAAACCGGGAAGTTTCGTGTTTTCCGAATGTAAATCAAAGCTGATTTATTTTCCTGATTGTCTGAAAGAAGAAGAGCAGTGTTGAGCCTCTCTGATCAATAACTTTATGGCTCAAGGATTAAAACTATGGAAGATCATTGCAATCACCAAAGTAAAAATACTGTTTGTTCAGCATTTCTTAATCAGGGGATCTACACTCAACACCGCTGTATCTTTAAGTTATTGATCCTTGCTTTGTAATTGTTGTAAAGGTTGTTCTTTATTTAACTGAAATCATAAAGATAATTTTATTATTATTATGATTATGAGATATTGATTATTATATTATCAGTACTTGTATTATCTTACAATTATGACAGCATTTAATAATTTTAACAATAAGATTTGTCTCTCCATAATCAGAAGATCCAGGTTTTATAAGACTTTAATTACGAGGTAAATCATTTTGTCTATCTGCTTATTTAATGGAGACATTATAGACACATATTGTTCATTCCTTTGCAACACAAATAAATTAATTTAAAAAAAAATTACCTCTTGATTAAGAAAAAATAATCTTGTGATTACAAAACAAGGTTGTCGAGAATTATGAGATTAAATATTCTACCCAAGAAAGTTATAGTAAAATGTACGGTGGCCGAGAAAGATTCGTTTAAAAGTCTACTAGTGATGTATAGAATATAATAACTATGGACACTTTGTGTCTTAAAACATTTAAAATTATTTTCTAACTGCGACATTCTTCCTGCGTAATTACAAAAAAAATCTTGTTAGTACCAGATTAAATAATCTCGTAGATAAAATGATTATAAAATCCTTATCTTGTACTTGCATAAATACTTTTAAAATAATAATTACGAGATCCCGAATTACGCAACAAGGATGTCTTAATTATGAAACAATTAAAGTATTTTTAATCTGTAATAGAAAAGGATTTTCTAATTATGGGTTAAAATAATTAAGAAACAAAACAATGATCAGTTAACTAACTTAATTGCGATATCTTTATTCCTCAAAGACAAAACAAGGATCTCATAGTAACGAGACACAGATCTCGTTAAGGCTCGTAGCTGAAGCTAACTTATCTCATAACTACGAGATACAGAGCGAGTAATTATGATTTTTAATGTCCTTTAGCAAATGCAATGTACTTTCATAGAAAATGAGCTGATTTCAGCTTAAACTCTCGAATATCCTTCAAACACGACCCGTACCTGATTTAATTCAGTTGTGTAGTGAAATCTAAATATTTTGCCATTTTAAATGTTTTGTTACTAAAAATCTTTAAAACGTCTCCTCACTTTTAATTTTTTGTGCTTTTTTAAAATTTTGTTGCAGTTGTTATTTTTTGTGTGAAGTTGGAGCTGAAGGTCTCGTTGGCCCCTCAGAGTTCACTGACCCTCTCACTGAGGGTCTCCAGCTCCTCCTCCTGCTCCTTGTAGCGCTCCACCCCCGACCCACCGTCGCTGCGGGGGCCGTTGGCGAGGTGCGTGGGGTAGTCGAGGCCGCTCAGCTGGGCGTGGTGATGCCAGCGCAGGTCGTCGCTCTCGTGGGTGATGTAGCGCTCATTCATCCGAGACTCCAGGTTTCTCAGGTCCAACCACATCTGGTAGTCCTGGTGGAGAAAACAAACCCTCCCTCAAATATAGCGGCTCCATTGTTGGCACGTTATTTTATTTAGGGTTGAGTTTTATTTTTAGTTAATACGTATTTTACACTGAGAATTACAATGTCAAATGTCATGTGGCCCAACAGAGCTTACAATATTTGAAACCCTTGTTAGACCCTTTGATTCAGCTAAGAAAGACAAAGATCACCAGAATAAAATATATAAAATGTGTTTGGTTTGTCCGTTCTGGGCCACCGTAGAAACATGGCAGACTCATCCAGAAGAGGACTCTGGTAGATAAAAACGTCTCATTCTCAGGTAACAGAAACACAACAGGTCAGCAATGAACAGACAGAAACAAATGTTTTGTTCATGCACTCTGAAATTTAACTTGAAAATCTTAATGTTATTTTTACTTTTGGACAAACTAGTTAAATCAAAATGTTGAATACAGACAACGTAAAACATCAAACCCTGAAGTCTTGTGTTAAGTTGCGTTATTGAGCTTTTTACCCCAGAACATGTACTTTAATGTGGTTTTCATTGTTAACTGTGGGTCTCTTTTAATCTGGTATTAACACTAGTTATTATTGTAGTAATAAAGTTTAATACAATGAGTCAACATCTTCAGCTTCCTCATTCAGTCTGGCTGTGAGGTGACTGAATGTTTCCTCTCAATAATTAAACATTTAAATTAAAGGTGTTTTTGATGGTTTGCATCCTACCTGTAACCAGGGGTGACTGAGGGTCTTGTCGACGCTGTATCTCTTCCTCATCTTCACCTGCAGCAGGTTGTTAATCAGGTCGATCGCTGCCAGGAAACAAAGGAGGAGAAAAGGAGGAAGTGATGAGTGTTGTTAAAGCAAAGGTCCAGCAGAGGGATGATGGAGGAGGAGGAGGATGTAGCCCCCCCCCACCTGTGGTGAGGGGCCAGCCGGGGCTAATGAGCAAAGCTAACATGATGTTAACATTTCTTCAGGGGTCAGCGGTCTGAACAGCTCTGGGACCCCGCGGCCCCTCAGGTCTACGGGGGCCTCCATCGCTTGGCATTATGCACATGAATGGACCACCACATGAATACCCCCGAATCTGTCTGTCTCTCTTTCCAAGAACTACCCGCTCCTCCTTTCTGCCCCTCATTCCTCTTTCTCAGGGGAGTCACATGACCCTCTTTAATCTTTTCCTTTTAAAGTGGGGCCGAAGGATGGCGAGCTCAGAGCGAGAGAAGTGTCGAACAGACGGGATGTTTAATGCGTGATCGTCTCTCTTTGTGATAATTCTCATCATTTATTCAGGATTTTATTCTAATTTCTTCTGTATGTGAGCACAAACACCCATTTACACCCGGTATTAAACACAAACTGTATCTGGACACGTTATCCAGATTAGGAAGAAAACTTATGTAAAAGAGTTGTGATCAAACTGGATGTAGTCGGGTTGCATTGTGTGTGGATCTACAGATATTAATAATTATTGATTATGTGTCTTTTCTGTGCCATGAAAGCGGCAGAAGATGCCGATCTCACAGAGACGTATCGCTCGAATCCGCCACCAACAAAACCAATGTTCCTTCGGTACGATGCGCCTGTCGTCTGCTCGCCGTCGTGTTATTCAAACGTTTTTTAGAAAGTTTGACAAAATTATGCATAACTTCCTCATTTGCTTCTGCTAACTTTAGCAGCTAACTCAAACGGAGATTAATGTGCTTCTTTCATATCACGTAACGTACACCTGGATCGCTGTGATTGACACAGTTTGGCCAGTAGTGGAGGGTAAACCAAAAGTTACCTCCTCTTTGAAACGAAGCGCTTACTCATCTAGAGCTCGACGTCGTGGCTTGAATCCGCTGAAGGCAGATTTCTGAAGGGAGGACAAATATTAAGAACTTGTCTTTGACTAAAGAAACACAAAACTCAGACTTTTTAAGGGAGTCTGGGGCTGATTTTCTGCCACTCAAATTACTAACAGGTACAGGTTTTAATGTCTCAACAGGAACATTATGATACCAGGTGTAAACAGGGTGAACGTTCACATTATAAAACTTATAAAACAGGTTAATCCTCCACTGTTTTGTGGTGGAAGCTGCATAATACTAATTCTGTTGACGAGACAAAATGTGATTTTTGACATAAAAGAGGTGGAGTTGGAAAAGTGCCCTAACTTTAACTTCTTTATCCGAGTGTCTACATTAAAGACTTCGGTGGTGTTTGCATGTGGGCAGAGGGAGAAATGAGTTCTGTAACAGGAGCCCTTTAAAGTGTCTTCTCTTAAAGTGATCTTTGAAAATGCAGATTTGTTGACGCACTAAGACTTTATTCCCTGACATTTAATCCTCCCGCGGCTGACAGAAAACGACTTTTACAGCATTTATTTTGAAGCGCATCTGAAGTCGCTCTGGCGGGATGAGGAGGTGGAGGGAAGGTTAAGAGCGCTTCGGGGATCCGGCCGCCGGAGCGAGTGAGTCAGGCTGATTTAAATCTGTCTTGCAGTCAAACAGGACAATTCCAGCCAACAAACACACAAGACGGACGCATTTAGAGACAATGACGACAACAACATGAGTCACGCAGCAGCAGCAGCAGCGAGCGGCTCAGACTGACTTCAAGGACACCAGAAATAATAACCTGTGCTGATGTTAGACGACCAAATAAATAACCAGCGAGTCACACAGGAAACATTATAGGGGAGGTTCACACTGTTTATATGTGTTTGTATAGGAAAGATGATGCTCTAATCTAACATCTTTATTACTGAACATTTAAATACTGACTGTTAAGAATAATCTCATTTTGGTTTCTAGCTGGAAACACTTTAAATTGATTAAAATGATCAAATATCCTGGAAATTAACTGTGTTGTTCTGGAAAATCTGTAATCTGTAAATCTATATTTTACCTAACAGCAGCTACATTAGCAGTCAGATGGGAAACCAGACAATATTCTCTCCATAAATTATGATCCAGTTTCACCCAAATCATTGATAAAGCTGTGTTTGTACAGTAATCAGTGAGCTCCGCTAGCTAGCCATGCTGTTAGCTAGCCATTTTACATCAAACATTAACGTTTCAAAATACGCAAAGTCTGGAGTCTGCCTGCACTACAACTGGACTCTGGGTTGCCAGGTTGTAGTGTGTGGACTGGGTGTAATAGACGTATTTATTATTTATAATAAAGTTTCGTCCACGCAAATTACACGAGTTTCAAACTAAAGGAGGTCGCCGGGAGATGGCCTTGAAATATGGTAGCGTTGGTACGATAGCACCGAACTCGAGGCTTCAAAACGGTGCTGCATTAACAATGGGTGACGTTACGATAAGTTTACACTTGGTTGTCATCCACCGTGATACACTATACAGGATATCACCATCCTATGTTTGTCTGGTCAGATTATCATCAGACTGATAACTAGTAATATAAAAAGAAATATGAGTCAACATACACAAACTGTACAGCTTTATGGTTTATGGATGTAGCCAGTAAGAAACAAGCTGTAGGTGATTGCTGTCCTTTATAGTTCGGTAGTCGAGGTTGTAGCTGATGATGGTTTCTTTACGTACCTTCCTGGGAAACTTTCTTCCAGGGATGAGGAGGGTACATAAAGGCAGCGTTCTGGATCTGATCGTTAATATCTTCATCTTCATTGAAAGGGAAAGTCCCACTGAGACTGCAGAGAGAGAGTTTAATAGAAAATACAGGAATTATATCAGAGGACTTATGTATGATGTATATGAGGTAAGGCGTTCATCATCCTGGAGGGAAAAAAACTAAGACAAACGCACCTAAAATAAATGAGCAAAAAAGCAAGAAAAACAGAAAATAAAATAAAGTCATGAAACTAAAATCTCCCCGTCAGCGTTCCTACCTGACGTAGATGATGACTCCGACTGACCACATGTCCAGAGAGCGGTTGTAACCTTTGTTCCTCAGGACTTCGGGGGCGAGATATGCTGGCGTGCCAACCACCGAACGCCGGAACGACTTCTCACCGATGATCCGAGCAAAACCAAAGTCACAAAGCTTCACCTGAAACAAGAGCATGGAGGTGTGTTATAAAGATTAACTGTTTCTTTTGAAAGAGAAACACACACAGGCTGGATCAGGAGTTTAGTCTAATTAGCATTCAGCACATGAGCTGAGCGAAGAGGAACGTTAACTCTAGTCACCGATTTTGGTGAAACTGGATTGTATTTTAGCTGGCAACAAAGCTGTTAACCCTTTAAGCGCCAAAGTCGCAAAATTGCGACAGGACGCGGTACTGACTCAAACAGCTGTTTTCTCCTAATAGAGCGTTATATCTCATTCATACTCCCCTCCACTAGTTGGCAGACATCCCGTACTTAGACCTTAGCTCAGAAAAACGTCATGTTTTAATGCAAAATGTTTGAGGAAGTCCCGTCCAAACTGTTGGGCGAGAAACCGGAAATAGTGCGCCACGGCGCTATTTATGCTGAAGCGGTATTGCTGGATTTAGGAGTTATTGAGACGACGTGAAAGAAAATTGCAAGCAAAAAGTTGACGCTTAGGGAAGTGATGGGTCTCCTATTCACTGACTCTGACTCTGAAGGGGAAAATCTACCTTTGGGAGATGACGGTCAGTCGTTTAGTGAGCGTGATAGTCACGGTGCGTCTTTGCACCGGCGCTGCCGGGCAGAGCAAGGAAAACACACAAGCACAAACACACGACCCTTTGCCCAACATAGGTGGGATTACTACACGAACTCGTAGTATCAGTAAGGGAGCTAATGGATGTGGTAGAAGTAGTGGGGGTGGTGAGAATAGCGCTGGGACCAGCGTTCGTTTTCACTCTTTCTACAGCGCCGGTCACAGTGCGTCCATGCGTGGCAGTGGCGCAGCCATCCGATGCAGCAGTGGTGTGCCTGTCCACTTGTTAGGCTATGTGGTGGGGTCTCAATATTGTTCATATTGTCTCTGTACCGTGCCTTGCAATGAGAGGTTCCACACTCTACAAATACTACAAACTTTTATCTGGATAGATGGACACAGATTAGGCCTCTGCAGCTAAAAGACGCCTACTGTTATTACTACTGTTATTATTATCATATTATAATGATGATAATAATAATAATAACAATAATGAAGAAGAGAATAAAAAAGAAAAGAAAAAGTGTCCTCCAAGTGGGTAAAAAATCATAAAAGACGCCAACTGTTTACAAGAATTTTGTGGTGTAGTAATAGTTCTAGTTTATGACTGTTGGCTTACAATTTACTTTTACCTCTTCATTTGATATGTGGACAACGTAACAAATAGATGGAGGGGGTTGAATCTGATTAAATAAATTCAACTCTCTTTCAAAATATCAGGTATTTCATGGAAATTATATAATCCAATATGGCCGTCACCATATGACGTCATAATATGCAAATCAGATGGGGAAATTTACTCCCTAGATAAACTTTAGGTCATTCTCAATATTTGTCTCATTTACACTTTGTCTCTATCTCAAACCACTTTCAAGCCAGAGCCTCCTGAAATTTAGATGTCAAAATCTAGTATTAACAAAAACAAACAAATTAAACTTATTGTTAGCTAGCTAGATAATGTTAGCAGCATTCTCCTTCCTGCAGGTTTTTGTGCTAGGCTAGTTAGCGCATATTTGTTAGTTAGTTGGCTCATTAGCAAATGTAGTTTGGTGTTTGGAAATTGATTTTGAGGAGACTGTGTACAATTTTAATTTGATTTTGGATGCACAGAATTAGCTTGAGAGCTTTGTGAATCAGTTAAAGTAGCTGTGGATTAATACCAACATCAAATGTAAGCTGTTTTTGTTAGTTAGCAGCTTATCTAAATGTTTTTGTCCTACAGTAGTAAATATTAGCGTTTGTTAGTTAGCAGACAACTAATTATAAATGTCATTAGTACAAGAAGTTTGGTCGAATCGATAAAAGTAGTTTTGATATTGGCTTTTGTGATGAAGTTTACTCAAATGCAGCCAAAGTTCAGATATCTTTTTAAACTTTATTCTGTTGTTTTGCAGCGTAATAAATTCAGATTATTTGTCCACAAAAGGTTCACATTCTGTGCTCCTGATCGTCTTCCTGCTGTACAGTAAAGAATTTAAAAGGGCTGATATTTTTTACCCCATTACAACCACAGCAGGGGGGAACACACCGGTCAAGTCTTAATTAATCTTGAATCATACATTTTAATTCGCCCTGTTGGCTCCGGTCACTGTTTGGATGGAAACTCGGGAGTGAGGATGAGTGTGATGAAGCTGCTGACAGTGAAGAGCTGTTGGCTGCTATCTTTGCCGGATGATTCACTCGCACTCAGGAGAAAGATGGAAGTGATCGGGGATACGTTGGCTCGCTCCACAGTCGTGTTGTGATGAATCAGTTCTCTGCGGCTCACGTCTATTTTGGGTTATATTGTTGTTGTCAATGCCGTCACTCCTCATTCAAGTGCATATTCAACTGTAGGTGGACCGACACTATTTTCAAGTGTCGACGTTGGTCAAACCGGCAGAAAAGCATCGTTGGCTCATCAGATTTGTTTTGTTGATTGACACGTCTCCTGTACCTGGACTTCTCCAGCTTCGTTAGAGCGAGTTTTATCACTGTCAGCTGTCAATCAACAAACTGCTCCAATGCTAACTGCTGCTAATATCAGAATGTCTTGTTTTTACAATTTTATTTCTTCACCAGTTAAGTAAACAAGAAACATGTGAATAAGACAGCTTTTGAGTTGCTGGAAGGCTAACAGTTTTCCTGCTAAGCTAATTCATGTTTGTCCCGGATATTACAACAAGCTTGATTTTCCCCAAATTGTGGATTTTACCTTATATTCCACTTTGTTGGTAGAAATTAGCTTTGAATTGTCAAAATAATAAATGTTGTTTTGTAGATAACGTTAGGTGTCCAAACTGCGGCCCGCGGGCCAACTGCGGCCTGCGATCCCTTTTTAATTGGCCCGCGGCACATTCTAAAAAATATAATGAGTATGGCCCACACATTAAACTTGCACTTGACCTTATTGTACTTCTTGGTTGACACGTAGCAAAGGGCCACAAGTTGGATTTGAAACTGAGCTGCTGCAGTAACTCCGTACATGGGTCGCCAGCTCTACCGACTGGGTTAAACGGGCACCCGAAATCCAACTAAACTGTTGCAGAGAGTACAATGTACGAAGACACTGTGAAACCAAACATCAGACCTACACGTCCTATACTGGCGCTGGGCGAGAACAGAAAGTTAAACAAAAGGCAGCTAGCCTGCTAGCCCAACCACGGTATTTTTTTCTGTGATAACAAAACAGAAAATGCCACAATAGCTAGCTACAAGGTAGTTCAGCTCATTGCCCGACACAGGAAGCCTTTCTCAGATGGTGCTTCACTAAAGTAGCAGGAATAATGTGCCCGAAAAAAATGTGAGAATTCAACAACGTTAGCCTGTCTAGAAACACAGTTGGCGGCGAATCGAAGACATCATCAACTGTTAGACAAAGCTTTGGATTTTTACTCCATTGCATGTGACGAGAGCACAGATGCCACAGACACGGCACAGCTGGTAATTTTTTTGCACGGAGTTGACGATAACTTTTGCATTACGGAGGAGCTGCTCGATCTTAGGAGTCTAAAGGGCACAACAACGGGTAAAGACATTTTTAAGCTGTGTCAGATGCAATTGACAAGATGGGACTAACATGGAACAAGATGTGTGGAGTTACAACGGATAGGGCTCCAGCAATGACAGGCTAGGGCAAAGGAATGGCCTCGATGGTGTGTGCCAAGGTGCAAGAGAGTGGAGGTGAGGCTGTTAAAATGCACTGAGAGTCTGCAATCAGAACTTATCGAAATGCAGTGTGATGATTCTCATCAACATCAGCTTCTCTCCTTACCCAAATTCTACGGGAGCTTGGAAAAGGCCAAGTTTCCTCTGATGAGACGCCACGGAAAATGAATGATGTGTCTGTTCAGCTCAACATACATATGTGAGCAGACATTTTCTCTGTTAACTCTGAACAAAAGCAGAGCTGAGAACCAAAATGACCGACAGCCATCTCTGTGATGTCCTCCGCATCTCAACCACCAAACTTACTCCTGACCTGCCAGCCATCCTTCAGTCCAAAACGCCGCATCACTGCTCCCACTGAGTGCAAGACTGTTCCCATTATAGGTGAGTTAAAAATATATTACACAGTATTCATGTGTTAATAAGCCCAATAACTGTATGAATTCAGTCAATTTATGTTGAGAACATTTTCCTAACAAAAGTCAGTTGATGTGATAACAAGATCAATAATTTATTTGCATAACAAGCTTGAAATATACTCATACCCCTTTTCCCCTCATTTCCCCCCTTTATACAAGCCTGTGAAGGGGGATTACCATCCTGACTAAGAATCGATCTGAGGCTGCTGTTTTGAGACTGCTGTCACCCTTTTTGTAACAAAATAAATTAATAAATTAAAACCCACTAATAGACAGATGTGAGTGATGTAGGCTGTTTTTTTCTTTAAGCATATTCAATTATCAAACATTTATCTACATTTGATTGATTTTGCCAACTTAAATACACTAAAGGTGAGGCGATATACTTCACTATAGTAAGTGGCCCAGTCCTTCGTATATTTTCCCATATTTCCAAGTCTGGCTCAGTCCCCCGTTCACTCAAACTGGCTGCTGTCACCCCCATCTCAAAAAACCTGGACTCAACCCTGACATCATGTCAAACTTTAGGCCCATCTCCAATCTTCCCTTTCTGTCCAAAATACTGAAACGTATGTCGCCACACAACTCAAAACCCACCTCTGCTCAAATGAACTGTTTGAACCATTTCAATCCGGTTTCCGCTCCCAACACAGTACTGAAACAGCCCTCCTGAAAGTCACAACGACATCCTCCTCTCCGCTGACTCCGGCCACCTCACCATCCTCATCCTCCTGGACCTCACCACAGCCTTTGACACCATCAACCATACCATTCTCCTCTCCCGCCTTGAGTCCTCTCTCAGCATCACTGGCACTGCACTCTCCTGGCTCAAATCTTACCTCACAGACCAACAACAATTCATCCACATCAACAACTGCACTTCCTCCACTGCTCCCCTGTCCCAAGGCATCGCCCAGGGTTCGGTGCTTGGTCCTCTCCTCTTCATACTTTACCTGCTCCCCATTGGCAACATCATTCGCCACCATGGTCTCCACTTCCGCTGTTATGCCGATGATGTCCAGCTTTATATCTCTACCAAATCCATCACCCCGGCCACTCACTCCACTCTCTCCAACTGCCTCACTGACATCAAATCCTGGATGCATTCCAACTTCCTCAAACTCAACTGTGACAAATCAGACCTTATCATTATCGGCCCCAAAAACCACAGACAGTTTCCACCTCACCATTGACAACTCCACCCTGTCTCCATCCCCCCACAGTCGCAACTTTGGAGTCATCTTTGACAATAACCTCTCCTTTGAACATCACATAAACCAAATCACCAGAACTGCCTTCTTTCATCTCAAGAACATTGCCCGTCTTCGCCCATCACTCTCCTTCTCTGCTGCTGAAACCCTCATCCACGCCTTCATCACCTCCAGAATCGACTACTGCAACAGCATCCTCTATGGCACACCATCCAAAACTCTAAATAAGCTACAGTACATCCAAAACTCCAGAACCTCCACTGGCTCCCAGTTCCACAGCTCATTCAGTTCAAAATCCTCCTCCTTACACACAAAGCCCTCCATAACCAGGCTCCTTCCTACCTCACTGACCTGCTCCATCGCCACAATCCATCCAGCTGCCTCCGCTCATCTGACGCAAACCTTCTGACTCCTCCACCCCGGACCAAGCACCGAACATGGGGCGACAGAGCGTTCTCTGTAGCTGCCCCCTCCCTCTGGAACTCTCTCCCCAAACACATCCGTGACTGTACCGACCCTCCAACATTCAAATCACAGACACAAACTCACCTTTTTAAAATTGCTTTTAATGTTTAGCTTAGTCTGATGTGTTTTTAGTGTTTTACTATTTGATGTTGTTTTGCTGCTTTTATGTTTTTATGTAAAGTGTCTGAGTATTTAGAAAAGCGCTTATAAATAACATTTATTATTATTATTATTATTATTATTATTATATGTGGCCCTCAGTGAAAAAAGTTTGGACACCCATCGCATAAGTTGTCCACATTGTTACCATAAGTTATATTTTATTTTCATCTTCCTCCTACTTTTTATGCTAAGCTAGGCTAAACACATCCTGGACCAAGTATTGATCTCAGTATTGGATCACCAAAGTTAACAATAGCTTGCTAGCCTAATTAACCTAACTTTCCCACATTGACAACAATGGCTTTTGTGATCACTGAGGCTGGAAATTTTGTTTGCCTCTCTTTTGATGCAGCCAGGCTAGTTTCCCCCTGCTTCAAGTCACGAAGCTAAGCTAATGCATACTAAACATACAGAAAGAGAATATAAAATTGTGAGCTAGTCCTTTAGCCCTCGGCTAGCTAGCAAGCTAATGTACCAATTAGACAACTAGCTCTTTGGCTAACAATCATTAGCCCATTAGCACCTAAAGTTTGTGTTTTTTCCATAAAACAAAAAAGTAAGAGTAAAAAATACAACTTGGATGCAGACCATTAGCTTGATGGCTAATTTGATTAACTCGGTTAGCTAAACGTTAATTCCAAACTGCCTCTTTAAGCCATTAGCATTTAGTTTTGCAGGAGTAGCAGGCTCTGCAGATGATACGCAGTAAGTGAAGTGTGTGTGGAAACCAACAGCCAGCCTGATGCATCATTAGAGCTAACAGTTAGTCTGACACAAACAGCTATTTCTGGAGAGGAGACTGAAAACTGCACAAAGCTGCTAATAGTTACACTGACAGCTAATGGAGTGTCTGTTTCTGTTTGTCTGCCTGTGTCTTCCTGTTTCACCTCTCCACTCAATATATATTTATATTTTCTTTTATGAGTTTGTGTCATGAAGGCTCGTGAGAATGTTTCCGTGCTGCATTCACTGTCTCGTATCTTGCAGCTTCATATGAGTCCTCCTCAGGGTTTTTTTTGTCACAATGTATTCACTTTTCTTTCCCTCTCTCTCTCTCTCTCTCTCTCTCTCTCTCTCTCTCCTGTCGGTTCAGATCCGCCCACTCCCACTGGCCCTGCAGTAACCTGTGCCCCCCCCCGCACACCTGTTCCCACTTCCCTGTCAGCTCAGTAGCACAAACTGGGTCTGTTGTGCTTCTGCTTTTCCAGCGTTTTCCCTGACTGCCTCCAACCTCTGGTCCTGGTTTCAACTGTGTATATTTATTATTTAACCGAGAGAATCCGGCTGCACTTTATTATGCTACAGAAATGGATGTGGATGACATGTGTCTGCTGTGGGGAAACTACAACAGGTCAAACAGTCTGGCTCAACCCTCTGCTGCACTAAAAGGAACAGAGCCTTAATTATCATTGGTAACACCTGTGTTTACAACACCTGTGACAGAGAGGTCTAATGACTACAGCTTTCCTCTAGCTTTAATTTAGCCACAGCACAGGCTATAATACAATTAAAGTTTTCTAAATTTAAAAAGTTTATTAGTTAAATCAGAAAAATCGGCAGAGTGTCCGATAAACGCTGACCTGTATTAAAAAGACTCAACAGTTAATATAATAACTGCTATAATAAATAATATAATCCATACAGTACATCAGTACCTGCGGGAATGAGTCTGCAGAAGCCAGCAGGACGTTCTCAGGTTTAAGATCGCAGTGGACGATGTTCTTGAAGTGGAGGTGACGCAAAGCCACCAGGATCTGACGGAGAACAAAACATTTAATAATAATTAACTGTAAGAACTCTTCAAGAGACGTGTGAGTGTATAAAATGTCCTGAGGGTGGCGCTAGAGGAAAGGTCTCAGTGTAATTAAAACAAACAGGGTTCATCCTTCAGGAAATTTAGTTTTTTGTGGTAATCTGGGCCCGATTGAAGATAATCGATGACCATTTGCTTGTGTACGGGAGGAGGGCCGACGGGAACCTGTGTATCACCTGTGTGACCATGAACTTGGTGATCCTCTCGGGCAGTCGTCCTTTCTCACTCGACAGGATCATCTCCAGCATGTCTCCGTGGAGCTTCTCCATGACCACGAACACCCTCTCCGGCGTCTCGAACATGCAGTCGAGGTTGACCACGCCCGGGTGGTGCAGACTCTGGAGACAGGAGGAGAATTTATGTAACGGATTAAGCCCGACTGACCTTATGCTCTAACGTGATGCTAGGAGCCAGAGAACTAACGTTGCGCCTACGAGACAGAGAGCTGTAACTGTACTGTAACAGTAAATATAATTCGATATAATTTGAATTGTCTGTTTAACAACAAGACCAGTTAGCTATCAGCTTTAATGTTGCAGCTGGTAAATATCGAATAATAATATAATAGTTTAATGTTGTTTATATTTTGTATTATTTGTCGTACGTACGATGTAACTAAAGTTATCAAATAAAAGTAGAATAAATAGAAATATAAAGCAACAGAGAATGAACATACTAAAAGTATCTCAAATTGTACTTAAATAAAGTAATTGAGTAAATATACTTAGTTACTCTCCAGCACTGCAGCTATGTGTCTTTGAGGACATTTTCCCGTATTAAAAGCAGCTGCGTCAGTATATAGATTTGTGTTTTCCAGCTCTACATACTGAGCGCTGTCTGTCTGTCGGGGGATTAATATTGAGGGAAGCTGCAACCTGCAGTGAAGTGAACAGTGATTTATGTGCAGGTGTGTGTGTGTGTGTGTGTGTGGCAGGTTGAGCAGCGCTTACAGGATGTCACACCCCCACAGTGTTGCCACGGTAATGAAGGCGTTCACAACAGGAAGTCTCACTCACTGTCAACAGGCTCCTGAGCGCCACCGCTGTGTGTGTGTGTGTGTGTGTGTGTGTGTGTGTGTGTACGTACCTGCAGGATGGCCACCTCGTTACGCAGCTGACTCTCCTGTTTGGTGGGAAAACGCAGTTTGTCGATGATCTTGATGGCGACGTCTCGGCCAGACTTCCTGTGTTTACCTGCATGTCAACAACACAAACACTCAGCTGTTACCGGTAGTGGAAAGTAACTGAGTACATTTACTCCACTGCTGTACTTGAGTACAAATTTGAGGTAATTGTACTTTATTTATTATTATTTATCTTTACTTTATTGTACTTTATTTGGATAAAAAGTCTTTTGTACTTTGCTTTCTAAATATTAAGCGTTTCAGCAGTTTAATTCAGTTTTTAAGAACGCAGCCAAGTTAGAGCTTTATTCGGGCCCAAAAACGACAGAAGTGGTTTGGGGCCCGAGTCTGACCCGAATTTCCACTTGAAAAATAATAATTTATTGCAAGCTAAAGTAAACTACAAAGTGAAAATTACACTATTACAGTCCAGAAATACAGCCTAAAATATTAAATATATATATTTTTATTCTCATCCTGTGCGAGCCCGACCTACGGCAATAGTAGGGCGCCGTCGAATGAAGAGCAACTGCAACAAAGAGAAACTAGAATATAAAGAAACGAAAGTAAAGGAAGTGTTTGGAGACACAAAAGTTTTGTTTGCTCAAAACAACAAAAAGCAACAAAAGAAACATCAAGTTCAGCATGTTAATGGCGTATAGAGACTGATTAACGTTATGTTTAATTATGTGTCCGGCCGTGTTTTACCTCCATAGACAATTCCAAACTGTCCCGAGCCAAGAACCTCGTCTGGGAAGATCTGATACACAGAGTTTATATCCTGAAAAACAGAAGCCCAGTTCACATCAGTCAGTGTGGTTCAAAGAGTCAAACACAGTCAAACACAGAGTCCTGCAGCCGACGTTTTTCTAGCTGTTCTTTTAGAGCTGCAGAAAAGTTAAAATATTCTTAATTTGTCAGCACAGTTGCACCACTCGTCAATGAAAACAACTTCCTTCCTGTTTTGGTGCCTGTAGAGTCACAGGGGGAATTCAACGCTCGTGTCGAGATAGTTTCATGGAATTTATTTTGATATTGCGATTTGATTTGCGATTATTGGGAATGATAATTTATTAAAATCATAATAATGTGAATGTGTCCTGGGCATTATAATCTTATGTCACCTTCAGAAAGAGAAACGTTTCCTGAAATGTTGAACGATGTCTCTAACAGAGGAAACTAACGTTGGAACATGTGTATCAGACCGGACGAACATAAAAGCCTCTTTGGACTCCAAACCCAACAGGAAGTCGGTTGAATGTAGTGGTCATTTTTGGTGATTTGGTCAGTTTAATCCAAACACCATTACGATTAACAGTTGTGGTCTTTGTGTTTGCATCAAACGGTGTGTGCGTGGCGTCAAATTTCAACATAAAACCAATGAAACAGGAAGTAACTTCAGTGTACTTTGTCCAATTTCCACCAAATACATGCTGATATTCAGTCATACCCATAGCGCCCCCTACTGGCAAACAGGAAGTAAAGCTGGTGTAACGGTCATCTGACTTATGTGATGTTTTCAAGATGTGGTCAACACATGATGCTGCTGTGGGACGCGACCGCAGCCAGACCATCGCTGCCTGCAGCTTTAATATTATTATTATTATTATTATTAATATACTTATTCATTTAATATTAGCTTATTGTGGTATCAAACAAATGGTTTCAAGGCTATTTTAAGACACAGAACTCTTTGTTTGTCTCAGGTTTTAAGCTACACAGACACACGTAAAGCCAGAAGCTCTTTAAAAGTAAAAAGTAATGAAAGGTCTTAATAATAAGTTGAACTGGAGAACTGCCGGAGGAAGGTTCAGCTGGTTTACAGAAAACGGGTTCAACAAAAAAAAAAAAAATTGAATTGCATCAATTCCTCAGCCGGTGGAGGACTTTTAAGACCGGGTTTTGGTACAGGAGAGCCTACTGTGCGCCTCCCCGAGTGTAACTGCACAGCGTCAGTGATCTGCCACAGCTTTGACACCAAAACTGCTAAATATTTTCTCCTTGTCTGCAATCACGTCTCCCGTTTCTCCCCTGTTAGCTGACAGCCTAATATCACACCTCGAGCAAAGAGGACAGAAATACAATATTATAAACCTCCTCCCCCTTCCCCCGAGCTCGCTGCCTAATTACCATCCGTCGCCATGGAAACCGTTTGGCTGAGTGAGTAATCACAGTAATCTCCATTTGAGGTGCTCGAAGACGTGCTCACCTTGGAGACGACGAGGTGAGCGTGGAAATGGGACTGGATGTTCTGTGCGGTTACATTTACATGAATAGAGTTTGCAGACATTTGAGCCTTATGTAAATCTTTATGATGTAAATGTACAGAGCGTTTGATACGACGCAAAACCCTTCACATGCAAATGAATGATAAGTGAGAGGAGAGCAGGAGGAGGAGACAAATAGGATGCAGGTCGAAAAAGACTTTTATTATAATCTTAAACTCAGAAAGTTAAAGGTGGGAAAGGAAGAACCAAAAGCTGAAGCGATATATTGGATATTAGCTCACTTAAAGGTGCCGTGTGTAACATTTAAAGGATCTATTGGCAGAAATATGTTTTCATTATAGTCGACTTGCAGTCATTTGAATCCAGAAATGTTTAATTTTTTTGTTAGAAATGAACATTATGAGTGCCGAGCAATTAGAAACTGCCAGAAGCTGACTTGCATATGTTGGGCAATTAGCCTTAATTAGCATAATCAGCTATATGGACAATATTTTAGCAACTGCTTGGGCAATTTGGACAATATAGGAGGCGTGTGGGGGTTATAGAGGAGGCTGAATTTTAACCAACTAGTGGCCATATTTGTGTGGGCTGATTTAGATGAATCTTGAGGTTATTTATTTGTTTAATAGATTGGAAAGTGCAAAAGTTCAGACGTAATATTTATTAAAATTAATTTTCTCTGCTGGTGTTTTTTTTTTGTGCTGTAATTAATGAAGGATATTGAATCCATTTCAGACATTTTCAGAATTAAAAAATGGCCGTTTAAACCATAAGTGGCCAGTCAATCACAGGCAAACAAATGCACAGCGTTTTGTCGCTGTACTGCCGGTTGGTTCTTTACTTATTCACTAGTTTACACGTTCACTTCCTGGTTTATTTTGTATTTACCTCTCCTTCTGGTTTCAGGTCACTTCACTTCCTGCCCTTGTAGGTTTCCCGCTTTTAGCTAATAATCTAAAAATCCTTATCTAAGTTATGCAGTGCCTGACTTAGCCGACTTCTCTCCTTATTTATTCCCTCAGTAAACAGTTTCCTGATGAGTTTCTGGTCTCAGTCTCTCGTTTCAGTCTTCTTCCATACAGCATGATGTTCATTTAGTAACTGATGGTCCCATTTAGAGTAAAACAGACCATAAAGCAGGGTATGCTTTAGGGCGGGGCTACCTTGTGATTGACAGCTCATTCTCAGTGAGTCCCTCCAGCTCAACGCACCAAACTCAGATCAAACTGTCAAATTAGGCAGTGCTGATCAGATATGGATCCAGATTCTGTTACTGCGTTGACTATTTCTCCCCTCGAAATCTGTTCACAAACAGATTTAACTGTTTGTATACATATTTGTACTAAGTTTAAAGCTGTGCTAGGCAGTAATAACCTTTCAGCATATTGTATTTGAAGTGGTCGGAGAGAACTAGATTTCTACACCTCCTCTTGGCTCTTTTCAGGCTTTAGAGAATCTGGCGTGTGAGGGGAACTTTTGGCAAATCACAGGTTGTTTGGACTAAACAAGCACTGTGAAGGCATCACTTTGGGCTATTAAGTGTGCCGGCGTTTCTCAAACAATTAATGGAGAAAATAATCAGCAGATTAGATGCTAGGACTAAATGCAGGACTTTCACTTGCACCAGGGTGTTTAAACAGTGTGGTATCAGTGCTACAGTGGGCACTGTATGTATGCTGTACGCCACCTCTACACCTGTATGTGTGTGTGTTTTCTCACCACATTCTCCTGGATCTGGCAGTTGGAGACGGAGATACTGATGGAAATCTCCTCTGTTGATGAGACACAAATGTGATCACAGTTAAAACTGCAGGAAAACATTCAGAATGAATAATTAAAGATTTAAAGAAACACAGATAATCAATGAGAGTTTAACATCTTATCTAACTTCACCTTTAAAACCTGTTCTGGGGGACCATTTTGTGTATTTACTCTGCTTGAGCAGTTTATTTACTGTATGTATTAATAATAAATATAAATCTGGAGCCTGCAGCCTTCTGGCAGTTGAGGCACTGTATTATTTTAGTTTCCCCACAGGTGAACACACACAGTCAGAGAAGGCACTGAGACCTCAGTGAACAGTTAGTCATGATCAGTTTGACGTCAGTGAAGGTCTGAAATATCTCTGATGGGTTTTGTGTGTGGGCGTCGACGGCCCTGAGGGGAACTGAGAGTCTGCAGGAGAATTCAGCAGCAACATTAATACCTGAGCTGGAAATTTTTACTTTCACAGACAGGATAACGCTAGCATGACACTTACATTTGTCAAGTTTAAATCCAGATAGATTCTCTGCAATACTATGGCTGTCTTGTGTTCATATTAAACAAAACTGTGTCTTTAACCTCCCCTTTCATTTCACCTAGAGTAGGTTAAAAACGTTATTCCACAATGTCTGACAGATGTGACACATACAGCATCTATTCTATCAAATATGAATATTTTAGATGTCTTGTGCATTATTTAACAAGCATTTACACAAAATCCAGCCTGCCTTATTTGGTATGTTTGAAAACTCTGATCTTCACTCAAGTACAATGTGAGTGTCTACTGACTGAGGCTGAAACTGTAATTATCTAAAGATACAAGTAAATGTTTCTGTTGTGAATGTCTACTGTAGTTCACTCAGGCTCGCACAACGCCAAAATCTCAACAAAACCATGTTTGTTGATTCCTGTTGTGAGGCTTGAAACAGGAAACAACATGCAAATGTTAGAATTGTAAAGAAACACAGCCTCACAAACATGTTCAAACTAAAGGGGGTTCATGTCATCAGGGTCAACGGCTATATAGAGCTGGGTGTCATCTGCATAGCGATTAATGTTGTTCTCACTAATGATGACCTGGACCTATTTTCAATGCAGACGACACCGTTGTGTATAGTTCTGATTCTTCTTTAGCAAATGCAATTTTAAAAACTACAATCTGATTTTAATGTTCAGAGGAATCTTTGCAGATTGAGACTTGTACTAAATGCAAACAACCAAATTGATTTGTGTCCTAAAGTCTAAGAAGATGGTTAGTGTATATCAGATTGTAGGTTGAGACTCTTTCAATTACCTTAAAGTAACAAATACCTTCTTCTTTTTCCTATAAAACAATCTGTCTGGTAAACATCATATCGAATGTCTTACAGTAACACTCAGTGTAAAGTTGGGTTTCTATTATAGGAACAAATGCTGTTTTCCTGAACCCATACATTAAACCCAACAGGAAGTCGGCCATTTTGATTTTGTGTTCATTTTTAGCAATTTGGTGCGTTGTATTTAATGTACTTCGTCCAATCTGCCCCAAACTTCACCCTGAGCACATTAATGTGCCAATATTGAGTCATACTCAGAGCACCACCTACCAACAGGAAGTAAGGCTTGTTTGGCAATCATCATCTGAATTACTGTAGTAAGGGTCCTAGTATTGCTGATTGATATTTTAATGCTTTATTGTTTTGTTTTTAAGCCTATTGTTTTTTTCTTTAATCTGAAACTGTATGCTGCTGTCTTGGCAAGAACTCCCTTGTAAAAGAGATTTTGTATCTAAAATGAAGGAAAAATACAAAAAAACAACATAAAAATAACAAATAATCAAACAAAGAACCAGATTTAAAGACAGATGCCACTAACAATACAATATGTGAGCTGTGTCTTACTGTGTCCACTGCGGTGAGAGCTGTGGGAAATCCCTGTAGAGACAGCCGGCATCAGAGCGTGTTGGATGGCCATTTCCCACATCCGGGCCACATCCTGCCCGACCCCGCTGACCTGAAACCAGTCAGTAAAACAGGAGGTGTTGAGCTGGACTCTCTGGAGGTCCAACACCCTGAAGTGATCTATCTTATCGTATTATTCACCAGAATGCTGCTGCCGGTCACCGATGATTCGGCTCTCTGCAGGTTCTCTCCGATGTAGTAAACCAGCGATGCCGTGGCGATCTCGAAGCAGTGAGGATTGGCTCCATCGGGAAGCAGAGATAAGGTCTGAGCTGGCTCCAAAGATAAGATCTCTGACAGAGGGATCTCCTGCAGAGACGACAGGAAGTATTTTTTATTCTTTTCTCAATTTTTCCAAACTTCAAAAAGTCCAAACTTTATTAGCCTTACCTTATAGTATTTACTTCCTGTGTCGTTCTGAAACAGCGTGATGCATTTACTGTCCAGCCGCCAATAATGTCTCTTCCTCTGAAACATAGACGATGAAGAGGAAGAGGAGGGCGTTAGATGAGACAACAGTGAGAGAAACTCAACTCCTCCTCAGGCTGGAAACATTTATTTTATTACACTTTTGTTAATCTAAACCACAACTGGCAGAAAATGTTTCTCCTTATCTTTTCATCTATTAATGTTCCTCATTTAATCATCTTGCTGATATTAGTTATATGCCTAATTTTCACATCACATCTCGTTATCAGCGCATTTATTTCTTTATTTATAACAAAAGATGTAACAAAAGACGGGCCGGCCGAGGTACGAACAAAAGAAAACAACAAACAATGAGATTAAATACATAAAATATCTAACGACAAAGAACGCTCACAGACAATATTCACTCATCTTTATCCTCAAAGTAAAGCCTGAAAATAATGTTTACAAAAGTGTTTTTGCAAGATCTTAAATGTGAAAATGTGTTTTATCTCTTTAAAGCAGCAGTTCAGTGAAATATCTGCAGCTGATCTCAGACCTGCTGCATCCTTTAATGGATGGATCAACAGTTCGGAGCCTCAACAACTCGTAAACCTGCATCGTCGTAATAAATACATTGTTGTAATTTACAGAAACATGTAATACTTTTTACTAGTAATAATAAACATTTTTCAGGACAACAGATTATTTATTTCCAGGATATTTGGTCAATTTAATCCAGGCGTTTCCAAATTTCCAAATTCACAGGTTATTTACTGACTGATTTTATGTCGAAGAACAAAATGTGAAAATCTCTCAATCGGGTCCAGAGGAGGAAATCTGATTGGCCACCAAGTGCCACCCCTTCATCCTCGGCTTTGAATATGAAACTAGAAACTTCTGTTGAATATTTAAGTAATTCAAGACATCAATATAGTAAATAATGACTAGACATGCACAAACAGACAGACAGGTGGACAGACAGACAGGTGGAGTACCAGGGTGTCCTTGCTGGTGTAGTGGACCATCCACCCCTCCTTCATCACGCTGCTGCTCTTCCTCTTTGTGTGTTTGACGGACTGAACGACTCGCATCAGAGGGATGTTGTTACTGGTGGACGGGCTGCAGGGGGCGGGACAAAGAACAACCTCAGTGCCCGAGGATACCGTCAGGGACAGGTGAATGACCCCTCATAAGTCCCGCCCCTTTTGGTCAACTTCCTCCTTACCTGTACTTAGATATGCTATATGCTAAGCTAATTTATGTTGGAAACAACCCCATTTTGAAGATGGTTAAAAGATAAGACACACACACACACACACACACATATATATATATATATATATATAGTTGCATCTTAAGTTTGTGAATGTTAACAAAATGCTACCTAACTAATCTACATCAATCATCTGAGATAGCTAGTTACATCTGAGCTAATTGCTAGCTAATTAGCTTGCTGGGAATTGCTATAGAGTAGCTATCTAGTTAGCAACCATTTTGCTAACACTGGCTAAGATGTGACTAAATATACTTTTATCTTTTAACCACCTTCAAAATGTGGTTGTCTTTTCATCATAGATTAGCCTAGCACATAGCATATCTAAGTGAAGGAAAGGAAGAAGCTGACTGCAGCTTGCTCAACAGAACAAAAATGGGCGGGGCTTAGGAACTGTCAATTGGAGTTCCTACTTTGTAAAAAGCAGAAGTTCGGGTCAGTGATTCGGGTTGAATGCTAGTAAACGTGTGTTTCTGTACCTGATGGCCCGGTTGGACTCGTCCAGGTCGGGGTCGTGCAGGTCGCAGAGGTCGCTTGGCCCCGCGTCCAGCAGGAGACCCCCCTCTGATGTCAGCGCTTCGTCCATGTCGTCCAACAGGCCGCCGCCTCTGTCCACATCATGGTCGTCAAGGCAACCCTCCACCATGACGACGTCTGACTCCGCCCCCGGGCTCAGGAGCTCTGCGAAACAAAGACGCCCAGCAGTGAGGACATTAGGACTTCGGGTTCAGGTGGATCAGGCCTGTGTGACGCTGACGGCTGGAACTTACCTCCATTTCTGGAAACTTCTCCCAGGCAGTTGTTTGGCACTTTAGGAGCACATCGTTTATGACAGTTGAATTTACAATCTGTGGGAGAAACAGAGGAAGCCATGAGAATCCTGAGCGGCGGGATTGTCTCAAATAAACGTTAATCAAGGTATCGGAAGACGCCGACCTTTACACTGCAGGCCCTGTCTGAAGAGGCCTTTCAGCAGCTTCTTGCAGTGCTGGCAGACGGTGGGTCGGGTGTACGAGTGGATCAGGAAGGTGTGAGGAACTTTGACCTTCGACAGCAGGATCTTGTCCAGTTCGATTGGGCGGCCGATGTAGGACTGTGAGCTCGAGCGCCGTTCTCTGCCGGGGAAATATTCTAACTGGTTCTTCTGCTGCGAGGACAGACGGACAGGGAGCTTTTCTAACTGCTGTCACCACTACAGAGACAGTTAAGTATGATAATGTTGTCTGACATTGACTGCTGTTAGTTATTGGTTTGATTAATGGTTTTATAATGTGTGTGTGTATTGATTACCAACGGTGGCTGATCATCATCTAATTGTGATCAGTTTCTAACAGGAGTATACAGTGAGTGTTTGCATCAGTCACAGCTAGAAGTACAGAACACAGTGAATAATATTTTTATATATAACGCAGCAATAAACTGAACTTTATGGTGAAAGAGCAGCTTTATTGATCAGGATTAAAGACTCTATATTGGAGGAAATCACACTTTTTAGGTTTTCATCTTTAGGTGCCATCATCTTGTACCTCGACACACATTAGTGGAGCAAATAAATATCAGATTTAATTTAATAATTAGAAGTTTAAATGCAGATATAGTACTACAGGACTTACCTCCATGCTGGGACTCACTGGAGACTGGACCATCAGAACAAAAGAGAGAAATATAGTTAGACTCGGTTTGATGAATGAAATAAATTAACCACTAAGACAAACTTCCCCAGAAACTCCTGATTAGTGTTGAAAATAACAGAAATGTCATTTTAACCCTTTAAGACTGCGTCCTCGGTTATATCGTCCACCTGTTTAACAATGTGTCCGAAGCTGCTTCTGTCGACTTCTGTCTCATATCGAGGACCCATTGTTTTAAAATGAGTTTTGATGGTACATCAGTGGCAGTTATGTGCAGAGCATGAAAACAAAAAGAGACGTAGCAACGGTAACTAAGGAGGGGGTTACTGAAACGACACTCCCCATCCAGACCTGTTTTTAGGATGTATATGTTGAGACTCAGTGTACTGACCAGTAAAGCATCGTCGGTGTAGTGGGGCGGAGAGGGCTCAGCAGAAAGGGGACGGCCCATGTTCACCAGCCCCCCCGTCAGGGAAACGTTGGACGAACGGCGCCTCCTCACTCCGCTGCAGTTATTGGGGATCTTAAAGGCACAACGCTTGTGGTAGTTTAGACCGCAGCCTGGGCAGGAAGAGAGGCTCAACGTTACACCTTTTCCTGTACTTCCGGGACTTAGGAAGGGTTGATTTGTCGTTAATGTTACGTCATTAAGTTCCTACCTTCACATTTGAGTCCCTGTCGCACGAGTCCCCACAGCATCTCTCCGCAGTGGTCGCAGAAGGCCGGAGCTCGGTACGAGTGAACGAACAGACAGTGCGGACGGATCTGGAAGTCCTCCACTGTGGCTGAAGCTGCACAACATTAAAAAGATAAAACGGATACGAGTCAATTCAACAACCAGAAAAAGAAGCAGTTGTTTATCTGACTGTGAACAATTCTACTGAAAACTGTCTTAAAATGTTGAATCTTCAAATGCATTTGTACTATAAAGTAGAATCACTTAAAGGAGTTAAAGTTGTGCCTATGAGGCATTGAAAGGTTAAGCTTTAGGTCCGGTTCCTGAATCGAACTAACACCAGGATCATTATTAGGCCTTTTCCACCAACAGGGAACCTTCGGTTGGTTCGGAACCCAAAAAGTTAAAATATAACGTTTTCCTTGGGAAGTCTATTGATGAAGCATCCAGTTACTAAGGTTTCACTCTAAACTGGTGGGAACGCAGGATCTGGATCATTACATAGCACCAAGGTTCAAAGAAACTTGTCCAGTTTCCAGATCTTGTGAACAAAAGTGGAGGAAATTGGTTATTGGTTTCGCAGTCGGTAAGAAGACAACAAACCCTCAGTAGTTTTTACCTGGGTATCATCACAGACCACCTCCAGGTTCTGGTTCTGTTGGTGTGTAACTGGAGAAAAGCTACTAGCTCAGTATTTATTGTACTCGGGTCTCTTAACTCTCCAACTCGATGGCCGTACTTTATGAAACTAAGGTTATATGAGTGTAAATTATGAAAGGATGAAAGCAACTAAAGTTTTATTTTATGTTTTAATCATAAAAGGAGTATGAATCAGTCAATTTAGTAAGCGATCAACAAGTCTATCAGAAAGCTTTAGAGAACTTTCACACCAAGAAACAAAATGTTCTGTTTGGAGATTCATGAGAAATCAATTCTCCATAAAAGCTGATCAGTAGTTTCACCTCAAGACATTGAAATAAAAGAAAAGCAAACAAAATCGATCTGATTCCAGCAAAGCATCGGCCTGAGAAGCTCTAACAAACCAGTGACTGTGGAAGTGATTTCTCTGTTCCATGTTTTTAAATCGGAGGCGAGCAGCTGCTGATCTGCGGCGACTGGGCCGGCGGCCATAATATCCATCTGAGCCTTAACATCCTCCAGCTGTTTTCACAAAAACCCAGTTGGGAACTTTGGCAGTGCCGAGAACTCCTGCTGCCGAACCCACGACACCAACAAGGGAATCGACCCAAACTGTTCCCTCCCCGACGACAAAAAACAAACCAGAGAAATCTAAAATGGACGTTAAGTCACCTTTGGCTTAATGAGCTGGGAAACAGTTTGGGACTAATCATTTTCTGATTCATGAGCATCTGGTTTTTCTAATATCGGATTGCAAATTCCTGTTTTTCACAATTGTAATTTATGTCATACTGAAGCGTTTTGTTGTTTTCTGCTGTTTAAAAGAAAGTTAAACCCTCGCTGTGTTCGCAAAATCATGCTATTTATCTTTGAGAAATAAAAGCCTTTTGTATGTTTGACAAAACAAGACAGATTTCCCAAATGTTGACTGTTGTTTGAAGGCCCTGTGGTTGACCTGCACAGGTGTCTTCACTCATTTTGCCTGACTGGACCTCTGATTGGACTGTTGTTGCACCTGTCAGGGCAGGAAAACTTACACCCATCCACCCAACCTGAGCGGAGGAATAATCAGCGATATCTGTCTCAGTAAAGTTTAAAACTGGTGAAATTTGGACAGTAATCAGGATCTATCTGATGGGATTATCTGTGTTCATGGTAATGAAGGAACACTTGTGGCTCATTAAAGTGTTTTTAAAGTCCAGGTGAATTGAAAAATGTAATTGTAACCCTTTAAGGTCACATCCTCAGATCTATTGTTCCAATATTTAACAATTTATGCTAAAAGATTCACAAAAACTCAGCTTTTTTTGTATTTTTATATCAAAATTATTATTATAGATTTTTTTTCCTGTAAAACAAAACTCATCCTGACATTCATCCGTCAATCAATCTTTAACTTTCAGCGACACAGAGCGAACACTCATGTCTAGCTAGCGGAGCTCACTGATTACTGTACAAACACAACTTTATCAGAGATTTGGGTGAAACTGGATCAGATTTTATGGAGACAATATTGTCTGGTTTTCTCTCTGACGTCCTCCAGCTAACTGCTAATGTAGCTGCCGTTAGCGTTAGCAGCCTTCCAGTGAACACAACCTCAGAGACAGACAGAGGACAGTTTGACGACAGCGGTACCGAGGTGTTTGATGGAGTTTCCTGATGGACTAAAAGAAGCTAACTGTCGCTATCAGTAATGTTAGTTAGCCATTAGCTAGTTGCAGCTAACATTAGCCCCGTGGTGGCAGGAGCCCAAACCGCCAATAAAACCACTTCAGTTCTTTATTCCCTGCAGTCAAACTGTCCCGGTCTGGACCTGCTGTTCACTGGGAGCTCCCAGAGTCCGTTAATGGATCCACTACAGCTGCTGGACCTGAAACTGCCTGTTCTTACAGAAATACATAAACACGTGGAAGCAAACAGCTCTCTGGTTTCTGTTTCGCCTGCACTTTAATAGTTCTTGGACAACTATGGAGCTCTGTGGCACGGAGGAGGAACATACATCGGGATTAACGGTTGTTACTCTGTGCTGGATTTGAGTCTGAACATGAGATTTGTTGACGAGAAGGAAAAATAACCGGAGTTACTCGCTAACTAGCCAGAGATGGAGCGAGAGCAAGAAGAGTGGAGGGAGATAAACAGAACCACAGAGACAAAGAGTAATGAATGGGTTGTTAGCGGGTATTTTGTAAATGTTTTGGAGGTATGAGAGGCTCTTAGCGGGCGCAGATGGACCGAGTGTTTGTTTGGTTGGCCAGCAGGCTTGGCAAGGCATGATGGGTAGTTTGGGATATGGCTCCCCTCTTTCTCTCTCTGTATGTATTTCTGAATGTCTCTCGCACACACACTCGCCCTGTGCTGTGGTCCTCCAGGAGAATACGGCTCTGATTAGACATTCTGCTGCAGGAAATTACCTCCATTTATTCAAATTATTGTTTATGCCTTTTGTTTGGAGGGCCAACATACGTTTGGAAGTCTGAACGAGCTCCCGAACTGTTATTATATGCTTCAGAAAATGACTTGTGTGCGTGTGTGTGTGTGTGTGTGTGTGTGTGTGAGGGTTTCCTAGGTAGTCCTTGTCTGAATATAAATGCCTGTGTTTATGTGTGTGTTCTCTGTGGTGGAATTAGGAGCGTTAAGGAGCGCTCGCTGCTGGCTTGTTAACCCACAACCAGAAAACAAACACTGCGGGTGGAGAAACTGTAAACCAGCAGTGGTGCAACAGCCGGGTGCGATCTTCTAATAATTATATTCATGTTTTAGCTCATTAGCTCTGTGTGCAACAGCAGACCAAACTTTAATTATGAGATATCAGCATTTAAACCTGAAACATTTCCTCATTAATTAATACTGGACTTTTATAAATCTGTCATTTTATTCAGGTAACGCTGCGTTTCACCGGTCGCCTGTCGATGGCGTCATCTCCCCTTTGTGTCTGCGTCAGCGTTGTGGTTGTCTGTCAGAAGCTGTCATACATTGACTATTGATCCAGTCTGAAGCCACATTGTTACCATCCACTGTTTAGATCTTGGTGCTTTTTAACTCTAGATCTGAACCGGATGAAGGATTTTAGTCATCGGACGTCTGGATCTTAAGTTATCAGAGAAACAAGCTGCAGAAAAATCTCGTTTCAAAAATCCAATTTTTGTGGCCATTTCTCAACATCAATAATCTCTCAAAAATGCACCTAGCTAGCCGCGTACAAAGAATACACAACATGTTGACAAACCACTAATTATTTATCTATATTATACAGTTGTCCTCTTTTTGCATCTCATTTGTTTGGTTTCCATGGTAACGCAGGTGAACGGATGTCTTCATCGGACAGTTAAAGAGCGTTGAACTATTAAACTGGGATTTGATTACAGTTTCTATGTTTATATTAAAGTTGGAAACTGTTCATTATGTGAATGTTTTTGTCTTTAAATGTTGTTGTTTTGTATTTTTTTGTGTATTTTGTTTATTTTTTAATTTGCCTTCTATTAAATTTGAATGTTTGTCTTCATAACAAACTTTATTGGAAACTATAAATCATAGAACGAGTGCGGCGGACTGATGAAATCCCATCATCCTCTGGGTTTATTGCTGATCGTAAACAACTTTAATCAACATGTGAGCTGATTAAAACAGCAGCAGAGTTCGTCAACTCGCTCCCCCGGTTAATATCAGAGCCAATAAACAACAACCTGTCTCTGCCAGTGTTTCGGGAATTATCAGCAGGTTTGTTTTACAGGTCGGTTGTGACCAATCAGCTCGCTTGGCTGGAGCCGCCTGTTACACCGCACAAAGTCAATTTCCTGTTTGTTTCCTCCACACTTCGAGCTGTTGCTGGGACTGACAGAAAGCTGTTAACACAAGTGTTTTTAACCGAGTGTCAGCATCCTGAGAGGAGGAGAAGGAGGAGGACGAGTAGGAGGAAGAGGAGGAGGGAGGAGGAGGCAGCGGTTCCCAACCTTCTTCCTTAAGCGAGCCCTTTTCTATCATTCATTATCATTATATCAGTGACACATGTTAAACAGTGAACTCAGTAAAGTTTGAGTGATTTGGATGAATTAAGAGCCGATAATTTCCTGTTTAGGGAACTTTCTCTGTCTGTATTTATTTATTTCTTAACAATCGTTCAGACTTAATGAGCTTCTTTTTTGACAAATTCAATGTTTTCTTGTCCCTTTCTTTACTGTATATTTCTTCAGAAAAGTGAACCGAATGTTGAGTTATAGACAGACTGTGTGTATATTTAAGTTTTCCTACAGCCCCTTAAAATCAAGAAGGCCTCGCGACCCCCTATGAAGCTATGGTGTGTTTTGGGGGTTAGGGTTAGGTTGTTTGTTTTAATGGTAAAAATGTATTTTATATAGTAAAATATGGATTAAATCTCAAGTAGCACTAAAATCCTTTCACTGTATTTATTACGCTAAAGTTCTGGCAACCACAGCTGCCAAAGAAAATAACTGTTAAACTGACACTTCAATGTTTTAACTGTTCACTTACATTTCTGTCATTGCTTCTGTTTCAATTAAATTAACAAAATAAAAGCCCAGTTTTAATTAACCAGAATTATCCTTTAAAAACACAGTAGAGACACACAAAGAAACACATTTATTCACACACACACACAGGCAGCAGCTGTCAGACCGTTAGCGCAGCGCGGCGTGAACACCTGAGTCCCGAGCTGGACGGCGTCCAGACCGACGAGTCTGAAACTGAGACTGAAGATTTTCATTAAACACATCTGGATTCTTACAGGTGTTCATCAGGATGTTTCCGGGACCGGTTACCTGGAGCAGCGAGTCGGTGCTGGAGGGGTTCTTCTTTGGTTTATTCAGAAGTATTTTTTACCCAGAATCCTCCTGTGATTTCAGCTGGTGGTTGGTGTTTTCATCATCGGCGCAGTTTGAAATTTAAGGTTAGAAAAAGAAAAATCTAGAGGAAATGTAACGTAGTTTAAACATAAAGGTGTTAAAGAAAAAAACAAAATCATCGAAAAGATAAATAAATAGAAATAAACAGTAAAGGGGGGGCACCAAAACCTACAGTGCTTTTACTTTGAAAAGGAAGTTTAAACTGTAGTGAATTATCTAAAAACGACTTCCAACAGGTCGTTTACACTGAGACAGGTGTGAGACCATGAGGTTACAGAGAGACAGAGACAGACAGACAGAGACAGAGAGACACAGACAGACAGACAGAGACAGACAGAGAGACAGACAGACAGAGACACAGACAGACAGACAGACAGAGACAGACAGAGAGACAGACAGACAGAGACAGACAGACAGAGAGAGAGCATCAACCAGGAGGTGAGACATCTTTACACACTGAGGTGAATTACAGACCTGCTGAGCGTTTGACACCTTTACAGGATCAACTGTTCACACACACACACACACACACACACACAGTAAGACACACACACACACACACACACACACACACACACACACAGTAACACACACACACACACAGTAACACACAGTAACGCGCACACACACACACACACACACGCACACAGTAACACACACACACACACACACAGTAACACACAGTAACGCACACACAGTAACACACACACACACACACAGTAACACACACACAGTAAGACACACACACACACTCACACACATACACCCACACATAGTAACACACACATACACACAAAATTAAATCTCTCTTAAAAAAACTGACAATAAATCATTAATGATAATTTATTTCTCTTCTTTAGAAAAACTTTAATCTCTTTGTTCATTTTAATTAATTTATTTATGTTTATCAGTTTTATTATTATTATTTTTGCATTTTCTAACACTGCTGTGTAAAATAAACTTTTGTTCTGGTCGGTGATTTAATTCATAATAATAATAATAATAATAATAATAATAATAATAACAATACTGTTAATCTCTTTTTAACCCTGTTTTTTAAGCTCCTATTTGTTCACACTTTGTTAAATATTCTGCATTCTAAGGCAGGTTCTGTGTTTTCCCTCCGGTTCCTCGGTGGACGTTCGGCCGTTTATTCTGGACGGACATCGGCGATAAAGATGTCTTCAGGGAGAGAAAGTCTCACTGAATGAAACCAGAATGTGTTTCCTGTCTGTGTGTTTATATCTGAGGGAGTTCAGACTCAAAGGCGGAAGACGTTTCACTCAAACCCCCCTTCAACTCTCCCCTCTTCTCTTTCTCCTGTCACCGCATCCTGTCACTTCACCAGGCCGGTCTTACCTGACAGCACGGCCTCCACCAGGTCTCCCTCCTGGATCTGGGAGGCCGAGCGCAGCAGCTGCAGCACGTTCTCCGACGTCTGGTCATGGCGAAACAGCAGGATCTTCTCGTACATCCCATAGAAAACACACTCGGGTATCTGATGGGAACAGAGAGCAGAGCGGTGAGACCACAACTGAACCAGATCTTCACCAAATCTAACAGGAAGAGTTCCAACGACGCCAACGGGTACGAGCCAATCAGAGGCAGAGGAGGGCGGCTGACTAACCCGCTTTCCACCAACGAGATAGCGAGACACGTCATTACGTCACCGTGCACGTCTCTAACGTTAGCGGTTACCGAGGTTACGCTAACATAAGCAACCATAGCTGTCTCACATCAGTGGCTCTGTGGTTGGACGTTTGTTACTGAGATGCATCTTGGGAGTTGGAGTTGACTTCCCTCTTTCACTCTTTATGTCCTCAGTTTTGAACCTTTGATTTGCTTTATAAAATAACCAGATATTTGTGTTTTAAAGATTAACTGAAAGAGTCAACTCATTTTAAAAGATGCACACTTGATTTCTAACCACTGAAGCTTCATATTATTTTATTCTGATTGACTTTGCAACCATTGTGGAACAAATACAGCGATCAATAACACTTTTACTGTACATATATGTACGTTTTGTGGTTATTTTCTAACTGACTCTGTGAATTAATGGTTGATTTTGTTTGAAAGACAATTTATTTTATTTTATTTAGTTTCTGTCCAGGTTTAAGTGTTTTATGATTTTCCAGGTTAAATGATTTTGTTTGGTGCTCTACTGCGACGTCTTGTGGAGGTGAATTCAGTATGTGTGACCTTTAATGAGGGTCACACCAATAAAGCAGATTTAAATTAGAGTGAGAGAGAGAGGGAGAGAAAAGAAAGAAGCAGCTTTGATCTTCATCAGCAGATGAATAAATCATTGTGATTATCATCAGGAAGTGACGGACAGAATAATCTAACAGAATAAATTAATACAAAAACACTAATGTAGTAAACTGAGAGTACAGAACCGCCATCTTCACGTTCACGTTGTTAACTTATAATAATAAATATTATCTGGTAATTAATTATATTCTCAGCCTTTTTTACATTCTGGGCACTTTTATTGTTTTACTTTGTAAATTATTCATCCTCTCACAAATATATGATTAACAATGTCACACAGGCGTCGTACAGGAGAGGAGGGGAGAGGTTTCAGGGGCTTTGATGCTTTTTTCTGCTGTAAAAATGTGGCTTGAAATACAATTCTGTTTTATGAGTTTTTTCAAACTTAATAAGCTTCTTTTTTTGACAAACTCAGAGTTTTCCTCTCATTGTTCTTTAACTGCAAACTCTCCTGATGCAGGCTGGGACTTCAAGTCTTCAACGTTTAGATCTTCATTAATAATCTAAACGTTAAAAATAACTCTTTTTCTTACATCCCATTAAATCAAGAAGACCTCACAACAACCCGCGAAGCTTCGGCGAACCCTAGTGGGGGCAGTGACGACGGCTGGACATGGGCGGGGGTCAGTTGTTCTGTTCAGGCGTTCTGAGAGACCAGAACTCCTGAGACCAGGACCCGAACATGTGAACACGAAGAGCGTCAGGAAATAATGTGAATCACATCGAACTGAAACTGATTCCTCTTTACAGATTTACTGCCGACGACATAAAGACTAAAAAACACAGAAAGCTGATGTGGATCTGAGTTTCCAGTGGTTGTAAGTCTTCAAATACACACACACACACACGCACACACACACACACACACACACACACACACACACACACACACACACACACAGTGGAGTGAAACCACAGGAAGTTAAAGGTGCAGTTCGCTGTTAAGTCGAGGATCGATGAGGCGTCGCTGAAACGAGCAACACAACTGCAGAGCACCACTGAGACTGCTATCGACCACACACACACACACACACACACACACACACACACACACACACACACACACACACACACACACACCTCTGGGCTGCGGACCAGAACATTTACTACCAGGTTGTCTCCACCCTGTGTGGAGTCAGCAGGACGGAAACACTGAACAAAACAAACGAACCTTATCAGCTAACAGCTAGCCTGCGTCTGTCCAAACACCTGAACAGCTCGTTAATATGGACACAAAGACAAACACAGCGGAGGACAGGAGCCGAAGAGGAGGAAGAGGAGGGAGAAAACATGATGAGGAGGAGGGGGACTCTTCACTTTTCACGCTCTCACTCGTTCGGCCTTCACCTCTCTCTCTCTCTCTCTCTCCCTCTCCATCTGTCAGTGGTTGTCTCTCGCCCCTCTTCCTCTTCAGTGCCTCTCAATAAGATCCTCAACAATACACTTCATGGATCCATCTTTATGTGTGTGTGTGTGTGTGTGTGTGTGTCACCATAGCAGCAGCACTAGTCTTGTTGTCATGGCAGCAAGAACTCAAGGCTGATTCCTCTCCTCCTCCTCCTCATCCTCATCCTCCTCCATCTCTTTCTATTCAGTTCAGTTCTTTCTGTACAGAATGTACGATGCTGCACATTAAACTACAGCTGTCTGACTGCCCTGCAAGGCATTGTGGGTGTTGGAGTCCTGGAGCAGGGCCGTCAGGGAGCTGTAGTTTAAACCAGGTAAGTTCATTTAACTCAAGTAGGGTTGAAACAGATTACATCGAACAATTTAGGAAAAACTAAAAAACATCACATCTTGAAGCAGCATCATTTTAATGATGATTTAATTTTGTACTTTTTAATTTTACTTTAAAAACTAAATACCCAGTAAAAAGTACTTAATCAGAAATATTCCTGTAATTTACAACATTGAGTTTGTGCTACTTTAAATTACCAATAAACTGCTGAATCAAACATATTTTTTTTAAGTTACCGTATAAATGAATAAAGTTTTTACCATTAAAACAAACTATAAAAATACCATATGATGCTCTGATGGTGGTGTTCTGTACAATTTACAGTCTGTAATATAAAAAAACTACTTTATTCTGTATAAATAAAGATATCACTGTGTTTTACTCTTACAGAAACTTTAACCTATTTAAAATATTTTTAAAAAAAAGCCTGTTTGACAGTGACACTGATTTAATTTTGTACTTTTTATTTGTACTTTAAAAACTAAATACCCAGTAAAAAGTAATAAATCAGAAATGTTTCTGTGACTTACAAAATCAAGTTTCAATTCAACTGAGTTAAAATAACTTCCCAGCTTATGATATGATGCTAACAGGCTAAAGCTAACAGGTCCCAGGTGTTTGGGATAATGTTAACAACCCAATTATATATATATATATATATATATATATATATATACATATAGAATATCAAGTGTTTATTCACTGTGTAGTGTTACAGATGTAAACCTGTTTCTATCTCATCAGGCTGTAACAAGCGGACATTAAACGAGATATTTCCTGATCATAATTATTGTATTAAGGATTGTTTCTGTAGAGGCTCCACATTAAACCTCCAACACACTAAAAGTCCACTACCAAATAAATTAAATGTTTAATTCAGCCGTTCTCTGAACTCTTTACCAAAACCCCAGAATCACAGAGCACTAATAGACCCCCCCCCCTCGCTGCAGGAGGAGCACAGCTGTAATCAATAACATTAGCTGCATCTCGATTAGCCATTTCCAGGGTTAGCTGTGACACGTTTGGACCCGAAGCCGTCGTTAATGTAATTAGAGCTTCTTCCTGCTACGACGAGTCAGAAAGGTGTATTGAACGCAGCACAGTTGCAGGTTGAGTGTGTGTGTGTGCGACTGCAGCCGGCCCCTCGCTCACACACACCTAATGGGGATGAGAGAGGGCCATCGCCATGACGACGGGACATCCTGCCATTTATAAAGGTGTGTGTGTGTGTGTGTGTGTGTGTGTCATCATTACTTAGTGACATCAGCAGTGACAGCAGCAGAAACAGTTGTGTGTGTGTGTGTGTATAAACTGTAGACGTGTATAGAATAAAATAAAACATATTGTGAGAGACAGGAAGCAGCTCTCAGACGTCGTCACTTTAAATGGACACAAACACACAAACACACAAACACAAAGTACCAGATCTGATATTAAGTGTTTATATATTGAACATTAACGGCTGAATGTTTAACTGATGGTTCACTGAGTGTTTATTAAAGCTTTGAATCTGGAACACAGTGAAATATTAACCTCCTTTTAATATTTAATTAAACTACAATCATGTCATTTCAACCTCTGATTTCTATCCTTTTTAGCTTAGTGACAACTTATATATATATATATAATTATTCTTAATATTATAATAATATACATATATAGAACATAAAGAGTCTTAAACTGTATTTTATATGTCACATAAGCAGCTTCTGTAAACTGTCTCAATATGAGCTAATATAGCATTCTTACTATCCTAAACACTAAGAAACCACCACAATATGACGGGCTACCTTACACCTTTCAAAATAAAAGCTCCGACCTTAATATCAATGTGAATATGAAATATTCGGGCCGTGTTACAAACATCTTAATACGGCAGTAAAAAGCAACAGACTGACTTTAAGTTCATTTTATTATCGTACTTTTACCTCAGCAGTATTTCCACAGTGGGGTCGGTATTAGTGTTACCGGCTAAACCTTCCCCTTTAATAAAAAGTGGCATTGTGGGTAACCTGAGTGTGTGATGCGTTAGCTAGTTAGCTGTTAGCAGCGGTAGGTTGTGATTTCCTCTGAACTCCCCGTCAACCTGAACTGTGTATGAGGTTGTTTATTGTCACTGTATGTCGGACTCATCGGTTCCTACTGAAGATCTTTAAAAACACAAATATAAAGTTTAATTATTCAAAAGCTTCACAAAAGTTTTTATAAAACAAACTGGAGGAAACTTGATGGGGGACTATTTCCAGCGGCGGATGAATCCACAATCAGTTTTTGACACCGAAGAAGAAAATATGACCCTGAAGGAAAATATAGAAATAAAATATAGAATATGAGACTGAAGATGAGATATGAAGGAAAAAGAAACGAGAGAGAAAATGAGATGAAGAGACATGAATGAAAAAAAGGATGAAAGAGGGAGAACAATGTGTGTGTGTGTGTGTGTGTGTGTGTGTGTGTGTGTGTGTGTCTCATAATGGCCCTCAGAA